CCTTTATTTAATCATCAAATGTTAATTACAATTTATCTATTACAAGTTTCCAAAGGCCATCTAATCACTAAAACTAATATCGTCCTTCAGCCCAATGCTCCTAGTGTGCTGGAAGTGTTTAACCCTACTCAGTCCCTTCGTAAGGGGATTTGCTGGGTTCTCTTCTAACGATACCCTCTTAACTACGAGGAGCCCCTCTTCTACCCGATGTTTGATGAAATGATATTTTTTGTCGATATGACTAGATCTACCATGATCCCTCGGCTCCATGGTCAAGCCAACTGGACCTTCGTTATCACAGAAAATCTCCATAGGTTCCTTTATGACCGGTACAACTGCAAGGTCTCCAATGAAGTTCTTTAGCCATATCACCTCCTTTGACGCTTCGCTCACTGCTATGTCCTCCGATTTTCATGTTGAATCAGCTACGGTCTCCTGCTTGGAACTTTTCCAAGTTACTGCTCCTCCATTCAGGGTAAAGACCCAACCCGACTGAGATCGGAAATTATCTCGATCGGTCTGAAAACTGGCGTCACTATACACTCGAACTCTCAAGTTATCACTCCCACTGAGGATAAGAAACCATTCCTTAGTCCTCCGAAGGTACTTAAGAATATTCTTACTGCGGTCCAATGCGCTCTACCGAGGTTCCCTTGATATCTGCTGACCATGCTCAAAGCAAAGGTCACATTAGGGCGAGTACAAGTCATAGCATATATGATTGAGCCAACTGCAGAAGCATAAGGTACGCTGCTCACCTCGGCTATCTTGGCTTCTATATTCGGGCTTTGAGACTTACTCAGCTTGGTATTGCTTTGGATTGGTAACTTACCTTTCTTGGAATTCTCCATGCTAAATGTTTTAACAATTTATCCAAGTAAATTCTTTGACTAAGTCCTATTAGTCTTTTACTCCTATTTATAAATATTCTTATCCCAAGAATATAAGCAGCTTCTTCCAGGTCCTTCATAGCGAAACACTTCCCAAACCAGGACTTAACCTCCTGCAAGGTTGGGACGTCGTTTCCTATGAGTAGTATGTCATCCACATACAATACAAGAAATCTAACTATACTCCCACTGGCTTTGACATACACACAGGACTCATCCTCGCTTCTCCAAAAACCAAAATCTTTGACTTTATCATCAAAACAAAGATTCCATCAGCAAGATGCTTGTTTCAATACATAAATGGATTTCTCAAGCTTATACACTCTATTCGGGTACTTTGCATCGACAAAACCCTCTGGATGACTCATGTAAACATCTTCAACCAAATTCCCATTAATGAAAGCGGTTTTGACATCCATCTGCCATATTTCATAATCATGAAATGCAGCTATGGCTAGCATAAACCTTATAGATTTAATATTCACCACTGGCGAGAAGGTCTCATAATAGTCAACTCCGGGAGTTTGAGTAAAGCCCTTCATGACCAATTGCGCCTTATATGTGTGTACTTTCCCATCCATGTCAGTCTTCTTATTGAAGATCCATTTGCATCCGACCGTCTTACGACCCGATACATTGTCAACTAAGTTCCAAAATTGATTGTCATACATGGACTGAATATTGCTATCCATAGCCTTTTTCCATTTTGCATACTCCGGGCCTGCCATGGTTTCCTTGTAGTTGTTAGGTTCATCCAAATTTACTAGTGTACTATCACTAATAAACGTATCACCCTATGTAGTAATATGAAAACCATAAAACACGGGTGGAACACTAACTCTATTGGAACGTCTAAGAGGTAAGGACTCATCAATTGGTTCAACAGGAGTTTCCTCCTCGGGTTGAGTGCCAGTGTTAGAGGTTCCTTCTTCACTTGATTCTTGAAGCTCTTCAAGATCAATTTGCCTCCCACTATCCTTTTGACATATGATTTCTCGCTCTTGGAAAACCCCTCTCATCGCAACGAAGACAACATTGTTACTCGGTCTATAGAAGAGACATCCAAAGGACTTCTGTGGATAGCCGATGAAAGTTCACTGCTCACTATGAGGTTTGAGCTTGTCGTGAGTCTCTCATCTTATGAAAACCTTGCAACCCCAAACCTTGATATGTTCCCAACGAGGGAGATTTCCCTATCCACATCTCGTGAGGTGTTTTGGCAACCTTCTTTGTCGGGACTAGATTAAGGACTTGGGCGGCAATCTCTAAGGCATACCCCCAGAATGAGATAGGTAACGAAGCTCGACTCATCATGGAGTGAACCATATCCAACAGGGTTCGATTGCACCTCTCACCCACACCATTCATCCGCGGTGTCCTAGGTGGCGTCAATTGCAAAACAATTCTGCATTCTTTGAGGTAGTCGTGGAACTCGATACTAAGATACTCACCACCTCGACTGGATTGGAGCATCTTTATTTTCCTACCCAGCTGATTCTACACTTCTTTCTTAAACTCCTTGAACTTTTCAAAGGTTTCTGACTTGTACTTGACTAAGTAGATATATCCATATCTACTATAATCATCAGTAAAAGTCACATAAAAGCGGTTTGCATCCCTTATGGTGGATCTAAAGGGCCCACATACATCGGTATGTATGAGATCCAATAAACCCTCACCACTTTCACAAGTACCAGTGAAAGGTGACTTGGTCATCTTTCCAAGTAAAGAAAACTCGCACGTGTCATCGTCCCTAAGGTCAAATGACTCCAACACTCCATCCTTTTGGAGTTGGGCGATACGCTTCTTGTTGGCATGTCTAAGATGACAATACCACAAGCATGCTTTATCCAAACCATTGGAAGAATCGATATGCAACACATCATTTCCTAAGTTGTCTATAACCATCGCAGTTTCATATATACCATAACAAGGCAATGCTTCAAAATAGAAAGTACCATTAAAGAATGCATTAATAGAACACGTTTTATTATTAAATGAAAATCTAAAACCTTGTTTATACAAACCATGAAAAGAAATAATGTTTCGTGTCATTTCTGACGAATAACAACAGTATGTAAATCTAATCCTAACCCACTACTAAGCACTAAAGAGTAAACTCCAATCTTGGTGACAGACGATGCTTTCCTATTCCCCATGATTAAGTTTATCTTCTCATGCTCCACATCCCTACTTCTTAGATTATATAAATCAGAACAAATGTGAAAACCACATCCTGTTTCGAGGACCCAAGACATAGCATGTGATGAGTTATTAGAATGAATAGTATAAATACTTGCGACAGATGGTTTTTATCTTCCCATCCTTGATATCTTACAGATACTTCGGGCAACTTTGTTTCCAATTCCCTTTGTCGTGGCAGTAGAAACAATCAGCATCCTTTGGGTTTGAAGAGGGAGCAGCGGGACCAGCCTTGGTTCCACCAAAATAGGTACCATCTTGGGACTTTCCCTTGCGGTGGCTCTTTGAAGGAGCCTTCCTCTTCTTCCCCTTTCCTTGCCCAATAGCCACAACAGGGGCAGCAACAGGAGTGGATGCAACATATTTGACTTTTAGACTACTCTTAGTATTCCTCAGCAGGCCTTGAAGCTTGCTTAGAGTGACATCCTCTTTGTTCAGGTGCTAGGTCCTACGAAATTGGTCGTAGCAAGGAGGCAAGGAGTGTAGAATAATATCTATGACCAACTCCTCATCAAAGTTAACATTTAACTTCAACAAGCGGTTCATGTATCTCTGCATTTTATGCAAGTGGGCCATGATGGACTCTCCATCCTTCATTTTGGTAGTGATCATTGCAGCGATGATATCATATCGTTCCTGCCTGGAACTTTGATGGTACTTGTACATCAAATCTTGCTGCATTTCATATGGATAGTAGTCCTTGTAGGACTTTCGGAGTTCAGCAGTCATTGTTGCGAGCATGATGCAATGAACCTTCATAGCATCTCGATCATGAGCCTCGTAGGCAACAATCTCTTTGGGAGTAGCAGTATTCACATTAACCTATTTCAGCTCCTTGTCGAGAACATACTCCTTGTCCTTGTAATGGATGACCATGCGAATGTTTCGGATCCAATCATTGAAGTTGGACCCGTCGAATATCACCCTCCCACACAAGTTCATGAGTGAGAATGAGACGGAAGGGGTTGAGCCAGAAGCGTTGTTGTTTGAAGCAGACATGTGAAAAGGACAAAATTTAGATTAGATAAGAATCCCCAATTTAACACCCAAATGAAAATTTAGGGCTAGGACCCAACACAATTATTTACAATTTAAAAGAGGGATGTCGTAATCTAATTGCAAATAATTTGAAGGTAGGTAAATGATGATTTACCATTTTCCACCATGAAAAACGAAAAAGACATTTTATGTTTTAAATGAATTGAAATTCCTAGATTTCTTTTGAGATTCGTTGAACTTTTCATTGGCATGTTTAAATCTCGATATGCCCTTCAAGTTTGTGACTGGGAGATCGAGGATCTCAAACAAGGTGTGAATAACCATGTAAATGTACTTAGTACTCTTAATGTCATTTACCACCTAATCAATGTGCCGGTTAGCCACACTACTAGAAAAACAGCCTTTTACGACGCTCATTGCGCGTCGTAAAAGGCTCAGACGACGCGCAAATGCGCGTCAAGAAAGGCCATGTCATAAAGAGAGACGACGCGCTTTTGCGCGTCATCTATAGACGACGCGCATTTACGACGCTCATTTACGACACGCAATTACGATGCTCTTTTACGACACGCAATGCGTATCAAGGAAGGCCCTGTCATAAAGGAAGACGACACGCATTCGCGTGTCGTAACCTTACGACGCACGTGTTAATGACACGCAACACGTATCAAGAAAGCCCCTATCAAGAAAGGCCATGTCATAAATGAAGATGACACACTTTTTTGCGTGTCATAATTTTAAAGTTTTAAAAAATATATATATATTTTTATAGAATTACTAATTTTCAAATTAAAAAACATATTGAAATTATGATAATACCAAATAAAATTCCATACATAAGAACAATAATTCATTTCAAAAAAATATCACATGTCAAGAAAGTTACCTAACATTAGATGTCAAACAACACTACATGTCAACACTAATAACACTTAAAAACATGTTTTTTCCTACATTTGGACCACCCACTATTCCTATTTCAGCAACCAACTTTAGGTCCAATGCCATCCACCTGTAAAAGAACAACATTAGAAGATCAACATTTTCTTGATTTGATGATTCAACATTAGTTGCCCTTTGACCTATTCCTGTTAAAAAGATACATAAGAGGAATATTATTTTATCTACTCGAGGACAACTTATGATGATAACACCATTATTAAAATGAAGTTACAACATCAGTTATTTATATAAAAAAAATAAAGTTTCAAAAACTCTAAAAATTTGAAATCATGATAAAAATAAAGGAATATTATTTTACAGACATACCTTGTTACAGTTTATCATTACTTCCAGCTTTCATGGCAAAAAGTTCACTGGCAGCTTTTAGTTCAACCAAATGAACACTACAACCAAGCAATTCAGTTATTCATGGTGAGAGCCTTTGGAAAATAGAAACCAAAACTATATTCTCCTGTATCGATTATTTTGCAATGATAGGATGAAATTAATTTGAGAAAATAGTAAACAAATTTAGAAAATTACAAGAAACGTTAACCATAAAAAACAAACAGACAATAGTGTATATTTATCTATTTAGCACCGACTCTAGAGTCTAGGCAAACATAATTTACAACAGCTGTCAAATACACAATCATTTGTTATTCAACATTTTTTATAAATAAAAGGGTAAAATGGTCATTTACTTACAATTTATTCATACCAAAAAAGAAACAGACTTGTGTAATGTATACAACACTTACTACAAACAGACATCATTTACCCATTCTGAACAAACTCTAGACATATTAAATTAACAGTCAATTATTAAATGTTATTCAATATTGCTTTTAAAGAAAAGGATAAAATGGTAATTTAATCACATAATTCATTCAGACCAAAAAAGAAAGACTTTATGTATACAACACATACTACAGACATACATCATTTACCCATTCAGAACTTACCCTAGACATATCAAATAAACAATCACATGTTATTCTACCTTGTTTCTAAACAGAAGGGTACAATGGTTATTTACTCACAAGTCATTCAAACCATAAAAGAAAGACTTTATGTATAGACAGACATCATTTACCCATTCAGAACTTACTCAAGAGTCGAGACAGATCAAACAAACAGTTAATTGTACACCAAGTCAAACCTACTCACTTGTTTTCTTGGATGTTGAATCTGAAACCCAATTACCAAATTTTAAAAATATTAAATTAAAAAGAGTTTTTCATAAAAAAAGTTTATTTGACTGATTAATGTGAGGAGAAAGAGTTCGAGTTGACTCACATGAACAGGAAATACATTTTCAGATGCTAATCTTTTTACAGAGCTAGCAATTGATATAGTATCTCTACCACATGCAACCATCAATAAAGGCCCATCCCTAACAAAAAAAAATGATTAATGATAAAAGAAATGCAAATTTAGTTAGAAATAAGTTGCTATTCTTAAAACATAATGGTAAAAATCTATAAGAAAGGCTTACTTCTCAGTAGTTCCTCTTGCATTGTTACTATTGACTTAACATCAGCTTCAATTATAGATGATAAGCCAACACTTACACCATTTTCTGTGGTCAAAGCATTTGACTTTACTCCATTTAGTTGTAAATAGGTTAAACACTTCATGTGTATCCCATCAGTTTAGGATGAATTACAGTTATTTTGGTGCTACTGTTAGATTAAACACTTCATACGTAGCCCATCAGTTTAGGGTTCCACTGATCTCGATAACTGGGCTCAATCACCATGGACAACCAATTATATTCGGTTTTGGATTGCTTTGAATCCGATTGTTCATACATTTGGCTACTCCAAAATTGGCTCCATGCAATGTCAGAAAACCAACCTGTCTCCATCACGACCGAACCTAATCATCACATTCAAATGGTTGTTTCACAGGGTTTTCCCCAAACCCATCATTGATTCTGTAAATGGAGAAAGAGAACATAATTATTTTAGCTATGACATCAACAAAATCTAAACCTTTCATCAAAAAACTCATAAATCTTACTCAATAAAATAGATTTTCCATTGAACTTAGCTACTATACGATGTCTAAAATAACAAAAAATTTCACTTGGGACTTTCAACAAACACCTGGATGGCATCCAGATTGGGACATCTTCCTTCTATTTATATGTACTCAGACAGGGTAACTTACAACCGATTCAAAAAAGAAACACAATAAAAATAGATGATCAATACTAACAAATAGAAAAAACAAAGATGCAAATATATATTTACCAAGAAAAGAGGTGAACCGAGTTGGTAAGTGTGTCACAGGGAGCTGCGATGGATTAAAATGAAGAGATGGATTCTTCAGTCATTGAAGAGGTGAACTCAAATCAGAGATGGATGCAAAATATAACTAAAACCGAGTTGGTATTTGCAATCCCATCACTACCCCTTGTAATAGCCCAAACCTGTAAAACAAACACACCCACTAAGCAAAATAGAATTATGCAAAAAAGTTTAAAGCATTTCAATCCTAATCAAAAGATACTTTTGGAGTCCAAAAACTATCATAATTTTTTATATATTTGAATAAAACTTCAACTTTTAACAAACTAGTAATGTACCTGAATCAAACCAAACATCCATTGTATCAGTTCCTTTCACATAATCTGATGCTTTATCATGATATTTCTCAGAAAGCAATTCTTCTACTTTCATATACCACCATGCATCACTACCCTTTTGGGAAATAATTGCTACAAAAAAAAAAAAAAATACAATCATCAAATGTTAAATTCCATATACATAAGTAAACTCTTTTCCTCTCTTTTTCATGTAACTTTATAAATCTAGAAAGTAATCAAGGTTTATATTACATCCTTACTTTTGATATGATCAATAGTGTCTTCATTTAGCAGAGGCCCCTTACTCTTAACAGGTTGCAACAACACATCCCACAACCACCCTTGCACGGTGGCCTGTGGTGAGCCTGGGAGGAGCACCAATGATAACGACGTGGTGATTATTCTTAATATAACACACACAAACAACACAAGAAAATCCATAATCAAAGGGGCTGCATAAATCACCACACACATCCATATTTGGATGCCAAGGTATAGTTTCATATTTGCACTCTTTAAATATAAACAAATTCACATATCTTTTTTTTTATATTTGTTGCAGGGTGATGTGGATATCTTTTTTTATATTTGTTGCAGGGTGATGCCAAAGTACAGTTCCGGGTATATGTAGCTTCATACATCGGTGTTTATGGAAGAGTTTGGTTTGACCGTCTTCTCAAAGACATTGTAAAAACTAAAATTTACCTTAGTGTTCCGACACATAACACCAAATAAACACTTCAATAGAAAGAAAGAAAAACTTGAAGAAATAGTGCATTTTAGAGCTTTTCACTGTTGTATTGTAGAGTTACGTGCATTTTTATGTAATAAATATCAACATATACTTTCATCTATTTTTTTTTTCCTTTTTTAAAGTTCAGGGGTGTATTTTTTTATTTATTTACATGAAACTGATAAAGAGATCCACCGAGAGCTCACCTCACCTTCTCCGACACTGAAAACTAAGAAGTTGATGAGAGGGGTTGAGTATACACAACTGAAATACAACAAAAGTGTAAATAACAAGTGATAAGTACTGAAATACCATTTCAACTAGGCATTGAACCTAAATCATTAGAAAAAACACAGACATATAATTCAAATAACAATTTATAACCTGATTAGACCTCGCCAGTCTGCTTTAATACCAATCTGGAATAATAATATTTAATCAGAAAAAAACATAGAATAAGATAAAATCAGAATTTATAAATATAATACAAATAACAATTTATAACCTGATTAGATTCTTCTTTAGCCTTTGGACTGTAGAATATGTTGACTAAAGACTGCTGAACCTATTCAGTTAAATTATTGAGACTACTAAATCCAAATTCCTTCTGATAGGTAGGTGATTGGGTACCAGATGTAAACAGGTCAGCTTCACTACACAAAAAATGTTGTCTATTATATTTCAAAATGAAGTTAACTAGCTCATAAAGGAAAGAAATTAAAAGAGATTTTTGTAAATTTTGTATATGAAGTTAATAACCTTGCTTCAATAACATGCCAAATAGAGTTTCTGATTTGGTTGTCAAACCTACAACAACAATAAAGAAAGATGTCAAACTTAATAACTAATGGTATCCTTATTAACACAAAATACATTTCACCATCTTTGATAAGATTGTTAACAAGTTGACTTGCTGCTAACAAGCCATTACTAATAAACATTGATTTATTGGTAAAATTGAACCTAAATTCCAAGTATTGTAGTTCAATTATCTTTTTCTCAAGTCCTTTTGTTGCATATAGATAGACAAGGTAGAAAAATTGGTCTCATCTTGGTGAAAACCTAATAGAGACATTATGTCGAGCACCTTATGGGCGCAGTAGCTGACCTAATAGAAACATTGCGTTGAGCACCTTGTGGGCGTCAATAACTGATTCGTGTTCATGGAAACAACCCTCCAAAGTAGCTTTACGACTAGACAAAGAATTTGACCCAAGAAATTAGAGGAAATACCACTCAAATCATGTCTTCTAAGGGAACAGGGAGTATAAAGGGATTATCTAAGGTGAGAATCTTTTTTATTTTGATTGTGGACAATAATACATGGAACAATACATATATTGCTACAATGGGAAGGGCAATATCATCATATGAGGATAAAGCTTATGAGATTATGAGTTCAACACAAAAATGGAAAGTATGTAGCTACGAAAGAGCCTCATCTGTAAAATTCCACACAATCAAGGACGCCAACCAAGAACCTTAAGCTAATTATGTGAGATATTTAACATGAGGAGTTCAATTTATTTATTAATCACCCACCAAAAATAGATAGGGATCAGTTTTGAAAAAAATATAAGATAAAAGAAATGGAGACATCGCCATGGAGGGTAATAGTTTTAGAGAGAGAGAGAGAGAGAGAGAGAGAGAGAGATGTTGCCATGAAAAATCTCTCGACTAAAACAACCAAAATCTATTTTTTATCATGAGAAAACCATTAAGCTTCGGGATTTTTTAGAAATTATGGAGGAGTGAGGATAGAAGAATGAAAACATTAGGAAGAGAGAAAAAACAAAACATACCTTAGTCAAACTAGGGCATGTAAATTTGAGCAATCGTCATAGTCTCTGACGAGGTTAGATGACAGGGTCTCCGACGAGGAGAAGTGAGCACGAGGTCACCTGAGGAGAGGTGACCAAAGAGGTTGTCGAATGGACGAGGCGAGACAAGGTGAATCTTCGACTGTTGCTACATCCGGCCTATGAATGCTTTGATGTCTTCCATTAATAGTTGGTGTGTGATGAGTCGAATAGAGTTCTTGTATGCCAAAACCTTAAATGGATGTGAGATTGAAGAAGAAAAGCGTACGTGAAGGAAGTGTTTTTGAAACTCTTGATGAAAATCACGATTATATGTAAGTGGGAAATAAAAGCCCTAGTTGTTGGCCGCCATTCTGTGATCTTCAAGAATAAACGCCACTTTTTAAGAAAAAAATTATAAAACGATTATATGAGTTGTCGAGGTTTATAGCAGAGATGGTATCGTGGTTAGGGTTTGCAGAGAGAAGGGAAGAAGAAAACAAAGGGAGAAGGGAGATCTTGAAGCGGGGTATTTAAAATTTTTAGAATTTTAAGAGGATTTCATTTCCCCCTTATACGAGCGCGTGTTTTGAGTAAAAATTATAAAGCGACATTCACAGAGGACGTGCAGTTTAGATAAAGTGCCCTCCGTGTTTTTACTTTTTTTTTATTTTTATTTTTATTTTTTACATGAGACACTAATTTATGGGCGCGCAATAATGCGTGACCTAAATCCTTAAATTTTTTGAATAGATGACACTTTTTTAATGTCACTCCCTTTTGCGTAACATAAATCAACGAGTGTCGTATTTTGCGCGTCGTAAAATGTTATTTTTCTTGTAGTGCCACACACGCTCCATTGATCTATGATAAACATCGAGCTACCCTTTGCCACCTTTGCTAGTCCCAAATTAGTGTGCCGGTTAACCGCACACGCTCCACTAACGACTTGGCAAGGTGCAAAGTGTAATTTCATGGAATAGCATCATTTTCACATTTTTCCTAAAGTAACTAAGATTGAGAATTTTATAAAACAATTAGTTAATTTATTAAATCATTATACTTATTAATGAGGAATTAGTTGCTCTATCCTACCCGTTTGGCTAACAACCCTCCACCAATCAAGGAAACGGTGGGTGAGAGTGGACACCCATTAAACTACAATTTTATAGGCAACAATCTTATACCCCCCTTATTGATGGACTTCGTGAATGAGGCCTACTAACGGTACTTATACATATATATTATTGTTAATCTTATAATAAAATAGTATAAGAGTTGAATTTTAAACTTGTAAAATTCTAGGGTTTAGGATTTAAGTATTTTGAAATTAAAACTTTTAATCAAAAAATCTAAATCCCAAAACTTGAGAGCAAGTTTTGAAACTTTTCAAAAAATCTTTTAGATCAAATTTGAAAACTAATTAATTAGTCATATTATTAATATTTATTACATAATTTGACATAATCTATTTTGTTGACCAGATAATTCAAATAAAAAATACAAATAATTAATTTTATCTTATAAGCAAGTAATTATCTTATTTATTGACAATTATCTTTCAATTGAATTAGGATAATCAATACCATATTGAAAAAAAAAGATTTTATTAGTCAAAAACGTTTTTGGTAATTATCCCAACTCAATTTTGGTCAAAATCCCGAAAAATCTGCCACCTGACTCTCCGAATCACCGAGTCACAGATTGGACTCGTCGAGTTCATCTGGTGACTCGATGAGTTCATCTGTCAGAGTGCAGATTTCTTGACTTTTCAAGCTATGAACGACTAAACAAGGCATCAAATACAATAGAAAATAGCCTAAGCTCTGATCCCGTTGTTGGATTATGAGCAATACATCAATCCTATGGTGTACATGCAAACCCTAGTACTTGGATCTAGTTTTTCTAATTGTATATGGAATAATTATCCAAGGCTTGCAAACCCTAATCTAGCATACAAAAAAAACGAACTCAACATAAATAAACTAGTAAGAATGTTACCTTTGATTGTTGCTTGAAGATCTTGAGGTTTTGAGAAACCTAGCACCGCAAATGCGATGCCTCTAATGAATCACAAACACCAAAAGCAATTGGATGATCTTGGAGAGAGGGGAAGGGCTCAAAGTCGGATCTTTGATCTCTAGGGTTCAAGTGGTAGTCGAAATTGTGAAGCCTATGGTCCTTTATATAGGTGAGCTGCTAGGGTTTCAGTGAAAACCCTAATTAGATTGCTTAGGCCTTAAGTAATCCACAAGATCCTTCCAGAAGGCCTCCTATGGACGATTTTTATGTGGGCTTCCCCATAGAATTCGTCCATCCATTCTTTAAGGTTCCTCGACCCATATTGCAACTATCATATAATTACAATATCAGTCCCCTTAGTTTAATTAATCTCTTTTGACCACAAAATTAATTCTTAATTAATTCTTGACCAATATTAATTTAAAAAAATTTGATTTTTCCTTTAATATATTATTTATATAATACATTAATAAACCATAATAACCTCTTTCTCCATTATCCATCCAGTCAAGTTGCTGGTGAAGACAACTCAAAAGGTCAAGCTATGGGCTTAGACACCTAATCCAACAATATGTGCTTGTTGTCTCTGTGACTCTTACCGGTTATGATTATATGCTAGCTGTATGGGGTGAAATAGACTTGATACCGCTTGAAAGATATCGAAGAGGGTGAAATAGACCCAGTACCGGTTGAAAGATACCGAAGGGGGTGAAATAGACCCAATATGTTTTTGACTGTGATGTATGGTATGGTATGGGTTATTTTGGGGGAGCTCACTAAGCTTTGTGCTTACAGTTACAGTTTATGTTTCAGGTACTTCCAGCTCAAAAGGGAAGGGTCTAGCTTGATCGCACTACATCCGCCTATCTTTTCCACATTATGTGATTTTGGGATTTGTAGTATGATATTTTTTTGGTAGCTTTGACATGATTATTTGATTGAAATGAATTAAAAGTAAAAAAAAAAATTGAAAATTTTAGGATGTTACAAGTTGGTGTTAGAGCCTTGGTTAG